TTTTAATACCATTTTTTCTGCGAATATTCAAATTTCATGGAACGCATATTATTTCCAAATTTTTTATCCAACTTTCTAATACAACTTTTCCTTTGAAGTTATCCAACTTTTTTTACATTTCCAAATTTTTTTGGCCAGTACAATTTTCTAACACAATATTTTTTTTTCTTTTTTTTTTTTTTTTATATATAGCATCTCCAAATTTTCGAGTATAACTTTCTTCCAATTTTGCACGAAACATATAGAGATTCAATTTATAAATTTTCAAAATTGGAACGCCACTATATTAATTTCGTTTCTTAAATTCTTCGTATATGAACTATACATCTACTGTCAACAGATGAAAAAAAACGCGATTCTAAATAGGCGAAAATGGTGTACTACGCACGAGTATAAATTATACACGTCTTTACCAAGAGCGTCAGAATCCTAAATGGGAGCTCGGTTAAGCGGAGTTATAAATCGAGTTGCACGTTAATCGAAAGGAGGGCGATGCAATTTACTTGGCTGGTTCTAGGAAACGCTGAAGACGGCCAACGTTACCAGAAGGTTGTTTCGTAGGTGTAGTAACAATCATCGAGTTTGCATTTACATACCACTCGCTAGGGACTTTTATTACGTTACGTTTATACCCACCTCCGTATCCCTATGAAACAACGAAGGTGTACGAATCTAGCGTGCAACAAGTAGTGAAAAAAAAAAAAAGAAGAATTGACGCTCTGAATTTTGATCGCGATAATTCTACAAATATTATACAAATTCAATTCTTATCGCGAATTTGATAATACGAATTCCAACTTGAATTCACAGCGAGGAAGAGAAGATATACGATTAACTGTGGACGGGATTGAATGCGTTTTGAGAGTGTATTTGCGTAGAGCTTGTGCGGATTCAAGTGGAGGAGACTTGAAAATGGTAGAGAGAGCGTGCAGATGTTTGGATACGTTTTATGAAAGATGCATGCATAGATTTCAGAATTGTTGAATCTTGATGGATGATTTTTATTAACAGACAAAAGTATTGTATCGCGTTAATTTTTTATAATCAAGTGTAATTTGTTCACAATTACATAGAATTTGAAAAAATTCTGGAATACATTTCAATGCATCTACGTAAAATAATATTCAAAATAAAAATTTGTAAAAAAAAAAAAAAAAAAAAAATTCTCCAATTTTGCCTACAGAC